ACCTATCATAAATGATCTCCTTTAGCTCCTACAACCTTTTCATTGAAATAGTTGTAAACATATCGTATCTATCTAATACAAAAAAATACTTAATGAAAAGATTATTGCTTAGAGATCAATATATATGTTTTATTTTTTTGCGGTCCGGTATCCTAAAAAAATGGTGAGTTCTGATTGGCTGTTTGAGCGGGCGGTATTTTGTCAGTATCTGCCCGCGCTCGCGGTCCGGTATCCTTTGCCGCTAAACAACAAAACAAAACGATTACAAAAACAAGTAAAAAAATACAGGAAAATAATAAATAAGTTATTTACCGTCTTGTAGTCGTTCCGGATAGGAAAAAAGCGTATATTCAAGACCTTGGGCACAGTTATATCTAGCATTGTATTGGCACCAACAATACAATGCAGTGAGGACTCGGCCAATTTTATCAGTTACGTCCAGTTAGGTCCAAATAACCGCAGTGAAAAATCTTAAAGCAATATCTGATATATTTATTCTCATTGCCAGCTCGAGCAAGAGGGACTGTGAGAATGCAGCAAGCTACTTTGGAAGACCAGACGAAAACCTTGGATCCAGAAAATGCCAACAAGATCATTACCCCGACATTTGTTCGTTCGTCAGAACCGAAAGTAAAGGCTACAAAGTAAAATGTGATGCATCCATATGTAAGGGAAAGGAAGTCAGCATAGCAGCCATTGATGAAAATATCGGAATTATTATAAAATGGCAACGGATTACACCCTTCGASGCATCCAAAGTTAACGAATTCGTGCAAAGAAAAATGAGTCAAAGTCATACTTTCTCGTTCATCAAATGCGGCCCAATATTACAAGCGCTTATTTTCCCGCCAAAAATTAAAAGAAACAAAACTGTCGACGAACAAAAGAAAATGAACGTCAATATAATTGTCTTGGATTGTGTATCTCGTCCTCATTTTTTTCGGGTGATGAGAGAATCAGTGAAGGCGATGCGTAAGGTAATCTACGATCAGTCTATAAATGYTACTGTGYTGGACTACGAATTGTTCCAGAGTCTCAGCATGCATACATTTGACAACATTCGACCTCTGTTTTCTGGAATTGTACAAGGTAAGATTGTTTGAAATTTTTAAAGTGCACCTAACCCCCGATACAATAATACTTTCAGTATTGATTCTACATAATGTGAATAGTTGAATGGTGAAATATTTCTTCATTTGAATGTTGCGTCTTTAAGTTATGAAGGTTTATACTTCCATTACATTGCTGACTGTGTCGTCAACCCAGGCTTTTGAGTGTATTTGTTTTAATTTTTAATACCAAAAGCTAGCCATTATGAGACATCAGATTTACAATAAACATTGTGGAAACCTTGAGTATAATAGTTATTCTTTTTAAAAACTGTTTGTATGAACCAGTCAAAATTTGTATATTTAATTAAGCCTGGGGTGACGTCACAGTCAGTAACATATTGGAAGTATAAACCTTCATAACTTAAAGACGCAACATTCAAATGAAGAAATATTTCATCCTTCAATTATTTACTTTATTTAGAATTAATACTGAAAGTATTGTATCAGGGGTTAGGTGCACTTTAAGGTGAGGCGGGATCATTGATCCTTGTGGAGTACCACGAATTTTAGGCCAAATCCGTATTGGTAACATTCAGCCCAGGCCTGGGTAGTGTTCATGTAACATGTTAATTTCCCTACTTGTTTAATTGTTATTATAAGATAACTGGGTTATAAATCTCGCGTTCTGATTGGTTGGGAGCGCGTGCTATATAAGAGCACACAGCACGCGCGCGCACTTTCAGTTGCGTCATTCCTATCCAAAATAACAGTTGTTGAAATTTGTATTTTATAAAAGAAAGAAAAAATACTTGTTTGCTGTGCTGTGTGCAGTTATAAAGCACT